GAATGTAGAATTTCACTTACAAAAATGTACAATTTTAGTAATAAACATAACTTTGACATATGTCTCTATTGATTGTTCTCTTTTATGAACTCTCAAGTTATTCATCTATTCGATAGTAAGGCACTCTACTAATCAGTGTGACTATGGTGATTCTAAACCTACTTGATAATGATCTCTTGTCGAGACTGAAACATATTGAATGACTGCTTGCATCAGTTCTCATCTGTGAACGTCATACCATCAAACAAATTCACATACATCCACCCACATTCTGTCAAAAGAGTTTTCTCTCAAAATCTCAGAGCGGTTTTCTTCTTCGTCTGAGGAAAAGCGGTAAAAGACCTAACCAATCATAAATGAATAGTCAACGTATATTTTTTTAATAATCTCATGCTATCATGCAAAAAATATATCGATAAATTGTATTTAAGATCGATGAACCATGAACATAAACATAAACATGCAGACATTTAATGGAAAAGATTTCTCTGAGTAGGGACCAGACTAGAGTTAAATATACTTGGATCTTTTGATTTGGCTTGTAGCTTAGAAAAGCCTTGCATGCCTAGCTCTGATTTGATTATTTCATTTGACCACAAGTAATCATATCCATCGTGCGATTAGATCTTCTGTCAACAATTGTCAAATACTTACTTATTTCAAACATACATCATATGCAATAGTTTCAAGTTAAATTTAGCTTACAGTGTGCACTAGTTAACATAATTCTTTAATGCGTATGTGGGTAAAAACTCATCGCTATGACGAGAGAAAACAATTCTTTCTTTTTGATGCTCGTCTCTATGCCACCAAACATTGAGAATAAAAGTGAATTAATGTTAACATTTTTTTTTCCTTTTTTTTTCGCAGCGAAGTGATGACTATGATGGTTTATTTACAAATACAACTCCGACTACGCGCAAAAAAAGTACCCTATCAAGCCATAGATGGTTTCATGCATATAACGAAACTTAAAAAAACAGTTTCGGACATGATACGGAACTTAAAAGAAAGTTTTGATTTTCGATCTTTTTGTGGTTGTCCTAGGTGCTTACGAAATCTAAAAACAAGTTTCGATTTTGTTCCACATTAGGTGATGTATGGTACCTTTTCTTTCAGTGTAGCGAGTTATGCATGTCCTTTTTATGTCTTCCTTTCATGGAAAGAAAAAAATTTGCATACAATAGAATAATAATCATTCTTTTAGAACAACATCGTATAAAATGTGCACAGTTCAACGTCAAATCGTCATATTTTGTTTCTTGCGTTTCTGTAGCAATCACACATTCAGATTAAGCAAAATAAAGATTCCATTGTACATCTCTATTATTTTTCTCGACTACTTGTATTCGATTATTGAATGCAGCTTGTTTTTCTTGTTGCTTCATTTTAGATTTCATCGAAACTGTCCTTGATTTATTCTGATAATAGTACATAACAAAAGCTACCTGATATCCATTTATTCAAAGTGTATCTCTGAGTACGTACAAATGACTAACAGATAACAACTGCGTACAATCAGTCATACGAGTAATCTTTTTAGTATGTTTTAAAGGTATTTCCAAATCTCAGTGTTTTTAAACTCTCTTTTATCAGTTTTTCAATGGGAATCCCAATACATAGTCACAGTATATTATCTCATGTCTGCCAAATGTCGTAAAAGATAAGACTGAAACTTAAAAATTGCGTCTTGGTCTGATCTATGAAATGGAAATTTTGAAAGAGTAAGCTGACGGGATGAAACTGTGGGGTCTTCTATTAACTATATAGAGAATCGAAGAGTAGCCAGAAGGCTAGTGCAAGCGGAGTTTCGAAGGTAACCCTCTAGTGGTGAAGATTTTTCGTTTTCTTCAGCAAAGCTACTCGGAATCTTTTGCGTTCTGCTCATACCTATGCCGATCGTGATGTCGTATCCCTTCCATCAATTCATCGATAAGATAAAAGCCGATCAGAGATGGAACCGGTACCGGTCTGGACTTTGGATCGACCGGTTTAAATCGGTCTGACCGGTCTAAACCCGCTTAAACTAGTCTGACCGATCGAAACCACCTTAAACCGGTCTATATTTCTCACTTTCCCGCTCTATGATGGTAATCATATAAAAAAACAACTGGCACCAATACTAGTTCCACTAATCACATAGGAATTTATCTAAAAAAAAAAATTTCGAAATACCCATCAGTGAGACTATTGTTATCAACGGGAAAACATTATGTCAGTATGCGTGAAACTACGAAGGTAGCCCTCAAGAGAGTTCATTATGAAACAAGGCTTCATTTCAAGCCTTAGCCTGTTGTCTATAGATCGATATTTTGTCGGTAGGTCGGTTTTTCTTTTATAAACTGACGTATCATCAGCATCCTGTTTAGTACCGGTAGGCTAGTTTTGCCCGGTAGACCGGTCAGATCAATTTTTTTTGGTAAATCTGTTTCGGTCGACGAACCGGTCTAGATCGGTTTTAGCGGTAGACCGGTTTTGCCGGTCTAGACCAGTTTTACCGGTAGACTGGCCGGTCCAGATCGGTCTTATTGCTTTGGACCAGTACCGGTCTGAAAAAAACTAGACCGGTTCCATCTCTGAAGCCAATAACTACACACTAACAAAGCAAGGGAAAAAGTTTAGTTACAAGGACATGCACATGGAAAAGAAAACGTGGTCAGTGAATGAGAAGGCGTCTTTCAGCATTTTTGATTTTGAGATTCGGACAATATTTCCTTCAGTAGCCTTCAGACAACATTTTAACCAGTTACAGATTGTTTCTCGAATCAAGTTTCTACTCTAAGCGATATTTATCCAAAACTAATGTAGGAGTGAGTAATCCTTGAAGAAACATCTACAACCACACTGATACCACACCCATGCAACACACCTGTACCACACACTCACACCCTAAATATGGGTATTAGTTTATGGTTTCGTTCCCGGGAATCCATACCAATTTGATAAAGGTTGAAAGAATAAGTGCCTCCAAAAGTCTCAATATAACCAAGAACGTGCGAAAACGAATCTTCAAGCGGGTTTCGTTCCTTGAAAACGAAACCTACAGGAACGAAGAACCCTGACACGCCTAACTCACCCCCCCCCCCCCCCCCCCCCCCCCCCCCCCCCCCCCACACACCTACATTAGACACCCACAGCGCACACTCGCACTACACACACAGAACAGCCACATCGTGTTTCACATTTTTAATCACGCAGGGGTTGAGCTAACAACTTTTTTATTTATGTTAAATATGCCATAAATAGGACGAAAACAGACCATTATGCTGTTTAGAACTCTTATATCTATCAATTGTGAAGAAACTCAACCGACATGAAACCAGGTTTTGACGATCGTGTCTTTTCATCGGTCAAGAATACAATGACAGCTAGAGTATATCCTAACCAACCCAGAAGTGCGATGATTTCAATTCCACCTTTGCCTGTTACACCTGAAAAATCTGAAGAAGAAAGTGAGAAAAAAGCCTTGCAAACAATTTATGCAAACCTGAAACAAGTGAGTGTTCATATTAACAATATTGATTGATTTGATCGTGATATGTGAACAGGCCGCGTGTTGCAAAGACAAAAGCAAAAGAGAAAAGAGATGGGAAGACATCAATATACTTCTGGATAAGACACAATACAAAAATGATAAGACGAGGATACTCGAGAAACTCGATGATGACAACCACTATGCGACAATTCACTATGCTGTTCTGTCTAATAACCGGCATGTCTGTGACAGGTTGCTCACGGAATATAAATGCAGTATGGATACTCTCATATTGTTACTTTAAATTATATCGTGTTTTTGTCTTTCCGTTGCACTCAAGATGTGAACTTGTTGGGTTGGGATGGTGCAACTCCATTACATCTCGCTGCTTGTTCGTCCGAAATAGATAAAGAAACAAGTGATATGAAGCATCCACTAGAGCCTCATAGAAAGGTAAAACGTTTGTCAAGAACAATTTTCTCATCATATACCATTAATCTTTTGATATTTGTAGCCTTCGGTCTTACAAATTTTATTAAAGACACCTAAAATTAAAATAAATATGCGAGACAACCAATTAAGAACACCCTTACATCATGCTATTATGCGAAATCATATTGCCATCATCGATGAATTGATGAATGCAGGTGCAAAGATCGATGTAAGTTGGCACTATATAGTTTTTGTCCTTGTCGTTGTCAATCGATCAAAATGTTTTCTTGTTTTTGAAATTACATAACAATCTTTCTTGTCAGCTAATTTCATCGATTTCTCGTCCGTTCATATTTTAACTGAAAGGATGATTCTATTTTGATAGGTACCTGATGTTCAAGGAGCTACTCCTGTTCATTATGCTTATCGTTTTGGGCAAGGCAAAGAAATGTTTCAACGGTTTCCTCTTGACTCTAGCTCGTTCAAACTGAAAACACTCGACAATAAGACACCGCTGGAGATGGCTGTCGAATATGGGCATACTGATGTTGTTATAGAGTATTTAGGACGGACAGATTCTCCAGCAAATCCTAGTCTTGGTCTTCGCGTCCTTATTGAAGCCATTCGCCGGCGTCAAGAGGACATCGTATCCTATTTAGTTCCAAGGACAAAACTCGATAGTTATCTGCTTCATATGGTTTGTCGACAAACACATGGACATGAATTGATTTCAAATAATATCATCTCTCATGAACTAATCACTAAAAATACAATGAATGAGATTAATACAGATGGATACACAGCGTTGATGATAGCAGTTAAATACGGACAAGTCGAATGTGTTGATAAGCTAATCAACCATCAATATTGTGATAAGGACGTACTTGAAAAGCGTAGTTTAGATTTCAATCGAACAGTATTACATATTTGTGCAGAATTCAAAAGCTATCATATCACTGATTTGTTGTTACAGAAAGCAAAAAAGATTGCTTTAGATTTGGCACCTGTTGATGTAATGGGTAATACACCTTTGCATGTTTGTGTTCAAAAAGACAATCAATACATGAGTGATCGATTGCTATCAGATAGGGACATGGTGGTGACCGTATCATCTATTCCACAAGGTACGAGTTCTCGAAAAACAGAAAATGAAGATAAAATTTCGAAAATGCTGAAGATTAAAAACAATAATGGATTAACTGCTTTTCATGAAGCTATTGAAAGTGGACACAACGAAATTGTGCTTCAAATGCTTAAGAAAGTGATCGACCGTGTACAATTAATTGAGGAACCTGATCAACAACTCCGTACAAGCTTGCATATGGCTGCATTCAAAGGTAAGTTTATAGTATGATTATTTCAGTAATGCAAGTTTTGTCAATGTTGTCGTCAAATCAAATATAAAATATTTTTCTTTTGATGAATCGTTATCAAGTTCAAAGAGAAGCTTCTTTACCGAAGTATGCCATATTTTTTTCAAGAAAAACATCTTAGCTTCGCAATTGTGGTCAAAAATTAAGCCAATTAGTGGAAAATGACCGCTTTTTGGAAGGAGTAAAATGGTGTTGTCTAATTTTTATTGAGTTTTCGAAATGTGGCCATTTTTTAATTAATTGATCATTGCAAAAATGGATCGCGATTTGTATATGATTGATAAATACAAAAGGATGAGAATGAAAGTCATATTTCGTTTGTCACTGGGCACTAAGTTTACTTAATCAACAACGTAAAAAGGTGAAAGGGTAATTTTCTATAATAATATTTATGTCGACTAAAACGTGAATACCAAGTTGGTTTGTTCATAGACGTTTGTACATTTAAATTATGCTCGTGTGTTATCACTTTAAATAATGATGCAAGTTTAAAATGAATTGAGTTTTGGTCCCATCTTTCTGCAATACATACACCGTCAAGATCAAGATTTTAATTCATATCAAAAAGTCTTACGAAGAATTTCTCATCGATATATATATATAAATGTTTTAAAAGATGCTAAAGAGAGTAGTGACGAAGAGTAAATTCTTTTCTTTTTTTTAGCCTTTTTTCGTTCATGTAGTAGTGGTATGAATAAATAACTCCATATATATATAATTATTATATTATGTTTGTTGATCTTTTCTTAATTGAAAAAGTGGCCGCATTTTGGAAACGCAATAAAGACGAGGAAATGAATTTTTACTCATTCCAAAAAGCGGTCACTTTTCACTAATTGGCTTAATTTTTGGCCGCAATTGATACGTAGCCGAAAAAATTGCTTTCTATGATCAATAAAATTATTTCTCCAAATTGGTTCAAGAACGTCTCGATGAGTACCAAAAGCAGAAACTTTGATTCTTCAATAATATTATATATACATTCTACAATAGTTTCTTCGTTTAGTTCGATCTTTTTAGAAAATGATGTTTGATTGTTTATTCTTAGGCAATTCGGTACTTCTTAAAGAATTCCTTCAATATGAAGTAAATGTGCATGCATGCGATGTAAATGACCATACACCATTACATGAAGCCGCTCGTTGGTCTGACTCTGATGAAAAGGAGAATGACCACCGAATCGAGTGCATCGATCTTCTAATTCAGAAAGGTGCTAAAATAAACGCATTAAATATTCGTCGAGAATCACCATTACATGTGGCATGCCGATATGGTTCATCGTCATTGGTCAAATCTTTAATGAAACATGGTGCTGATATATTACTGACTAATATTCAAAATTATAATTGTCTCGAGGTAGCAATTGAGGAAAAAAATAAAGAAATTGTCAAGTATCTTATTGATCACGATTACATTTTTGAATTAATGCGCAATGCGCAACTTTACAAAAGCATGAGCTGTGCGCCGTGTAATACATGTGATAATGAGACTTGTCATACAAATTGTTGCGTACCATGCTGTAAGTGCAGGAATTGTTGTGAATTCTTATTCAGCCATTTGGGCTTGGATCGTCACAAGGTCGATACACCTATGCGAAAGCTCATTATTTCTATGCCTGATATGGCTTTTGAAATTCTTGAAAAATGTGTAATAACCATTGGTGCTGACAGATCAAAAATACATAGGAAATTTTTCAATTATGAATTCTTGGAAGATCAGTACGCTGTTCACGATTGGCTCAAAGGTAATTCATGTGTTGAGAAACAGATAGTTCGCTTTCAAGTCAAAAGCACCAACGTAACACTTTTCAACGTTCATTATTGAATTCATTTTAGACAGAAACTGAATACAAACAATCACGTCTCTATCACCTGATAATTTGAGTAACTAGGAGAAGATGTCTGTATCTCATAGAGAAAAATAACTAGCTAAGTTTGAAATATTGAAAAGCTACCTACCAATCATTTAGAAACACCTGATAGACTGAATTTCGAGCTCATGTCATGATTGTTTTCCGTATAAAGCTTAAACTATAAAATAACAAAAACAATTTTTGATATATTGAACTGAAAATATTTTTTTACGACCAAAAACTCTTATATATTAATTAGTAAGAATATTTTCTGGTATTAGTGAATTATTAAGAACTTATTTAAATCGAATTCACATAGTTATAGCATGAGTTATTTTTTATATATTCGTTTTTGATCTAATGACGCTTGCATTAGATTTTTCATTAATCATCTCATTAGTACACCGTACTTCAGTTTTTTTCTGAAATATTCTTCTGATTGTAGTAGTTTAATGGGTCACCAAAACGCAATACTTTGGATGAGCAGACAAGGTAAATGTTCGAAATATCATTATGTGAGAATGAATATATGAAAACTCTAAACAACGCTTGGTTCTTATAGCTTCAAAATAAAATGAATAGTTTTTTAACAGACATACACATACGTACATGTATATATGCTGCAAATCATATATTTTGAAAATCTGGTTAAGTAGGTTCGAATTGTTGTAATTATGCAAACTAGAAGTCATCAACAAAGTTGAAAAGATTGTTTTTCGATTTTCATGCACATTTGTTTTCGTAGCGATTTGACGACCGAATTTCTTTGAGCTGTTTTGTTCACATATCAGAAATACAGTTTCTTGACGATTTCTTCTTCTTATTGAACACAAAATAGCTGCAGAACTTGTGTTCAAAACTAGCGTTTCGATGTGTAATAGTAGCCTTAGATATGATGTTGTGTGTGAATAACTTAACAAATTCCAAATCGAAAACTGAAATTTATTCGTTTAACATTCATAAACATTTGAAATCGATGCTATCCAAATCTACGATCAGATACTTCTTTGGACATGCATAAACTCTTCTGCTTTTTGAAGGTAACCTCAATAATCATTCTAATATTCTGGACGGACGCAAGAAAAATAATAAAAGTATTCGAAACGACGAACCATACACAACCGATTACAAAACACTAGTCATGAACCATCCACTCTTTCTAATGGCTGTTCATGATCGATATAAACTGATGGCGCATCCATTAAGCAAGAAACTTGCTTATTTCAAGTTTTGTGGTATTAGTCTTGTTCTGTTCATCCTAAGTTTCATACTATATGCATCCTTTCTCGGTATTTTTACGACCATTGCAATGCGTACACGGCACCCACAAGAATACTATAATATGACAGGTTTCGATTTCGATTTTGACTTGTGTCAAAATGTTACTCAAGCACTTCAATCTACTGGTCGAAAGGAAACAGCTGATAATGTATTGAAAACAGCAATGTATGTCATGTTAGTATTGAATCTGGTGAAAAATCTTTGGGCTATAATTGGTTACCTACGAATCGCTTGGTCGAAAATATTTACATTTATTCTCGAAATAATCGCACTTGTCTTAAACTTTTATTTTATTTTCGATTATAGCTACCAAGAGAAAGTGACTATGCGCTGTCCTATTCAATGGCAGATCGGTGCATTTGGTCTTTTTATTGGTTATATAGCATTATTCTATTATATTCAGTATATACCTATTATTGGTATTTACGTTATCATGATGAAAGTTATTCTCACACGATTTTTACTCTTTTTACCCGTCCTTATGGTGTTAATATCCGCCTTTACATTGTCTTTGTATATGTTGTTTCAAAACTTTGACATCTTCAATAATATGGCTATTGGTCTTGTCAAAACAGGTAAAGTTTTTTTACAAGAAATAGCTATCTCAACTTGATTTCATTCGGTGTTTATTTAGTAATCATGAGCACAGGTGAAATCGACTACGCTAATTTTATGTTTAACGACAAAACCACAGCCTATTATAAGTTAAGTTATATTATGCTGATTCTTTTTGCCATTGCTATGACTATTCTTGTTTCCAATCTTCTGATCAGTAAGAAAGATTTCTCGTTCACTTAAATTTTTCTATTTCTTGGTTGAATATAGGTTTGGCTGTTGGTGAGATTGGACCGTTGATGAGTACAGCTAAAAATCATCGTCTTGATATGTTGTATGAGCTTGCTGCTGACTTCGAAATTCTTAAGCTTCAGCTGCTTTCAATCTTTAATCGTTGTTGTCACTGTTGCTTTGTTGGGCCTCAGCACTATAAACAAACTGACCTGACTACGAAATGGAAGTGGTACAGAACACTTAAGAAAAAATTATTGGAGTCTTGTGAACAAGAAGCAGATAAAGAAGACACAGAAGATTCTTCTGACGATGATGATACTGACCATCATACACGAATACTGGAAGAAGTCAGAAAAGGAATACAACAACTGGCGCACTCTGGAAATCGAACCACTTCTGGACTACCGAAGCCAACTCAGTCGAAACATGTTACAGGTACCACGCATCACTAAAACAAGAAATAAAGCAAATAAAATATAAGAGGAACAAGTTGATATTTAATGAAATTTTTAGTCCTGCGTTTTAATATAACGAATAAAGAAGTCTCTACGTTCATTAGCTTGTTTTGTTTAATAAAATTTATGCATTTCTAATTGCTGGTGTTTCTCATGTAATATCTATTTCATTACAGAAGAAGAAAAAGTTAATTTTAATCTCTCAAAAACGAAAGGTAACACTGATTTAAAGTTACATGTCAACTAGTATTAACGATAACTTGTTTTTTTTCATATTATTACCTGATTAAGCTATTGTTTGAATAGTTTTGGAATGATATTATATACAAGAATCAATAACCACAAGTTATTAATTAGAAGAGTATTAAAGTTTGTTAAATACATAGAGTGCATGTTTTAAAAAAAATATCCAAAAATCAAAATTCATTTTCGGTAAAGTCTGACTGTCCTACAAATATATGAAAATTATTTCGGCCTCGTCTACAGAAGTGAAACACTGATTCATAACAGTAAAATAAAAAAACGCAGATCATACGGTTACTTTTCAGGCATACCATGACCATTTTATATTCTCGCGATAAGAAAAGAAAAAAAAATAGGAGCTATTAGTTTCTCTCCTTTACTAGTTTATGTTTTGTTTGATAATGAAACCTCAGAAACAGAGAGTATCACTATTCACATTCTATTCACTCACATTAGAATGAAATATATCCGCTCAATTCGTATACAGTCAAAGTTCGTAATATCGATCCATATGAACAACTGCTCGATCATCTTGATAATTTCTTCGAAATACTATTGCGAACTATTGTCTATTGCGTCAAAGACCATTTTTGTTAGAACATGCGGATGATCTGTCAAACTGATATTTTATATGCATTGCTTCATAACAAATTCATGTTTCAAACAATATTCATGCATTATTTGATGGAGAAATAGAGATCGGACGAGTGTTGGTTTTCCGGTTGATATACTTTCGAGTAAACTATCCCAACCATCATGTGATATAAAGAAACCAAAGGAGAGAAAAGCGTATTCCCATGTATTTCTAAGCATTTTGTGAATGCTTATCAATACATAAAAATATATAGGAATTTGTTGAAATGCTTAAAAATCAGCATGACTTCGTTGAACCAAATTTGCAGGTTTCACTCTCTCACGACCATTTTTCGACTCAATATTAGCAAAAATAGTGTTTCTCATTGAATATGATTGCAACAAAATGTATTAATACAATAAATCTACTGTACAATGGGAAAGACAAAAAACAGCATAGAAATACTTTTTTGCTATGTTCATTCTTGCAGACTAGTTTCCACTGCAGCTTTTAAACGATCAGGTGGCAAATGTCTGTTTTCTTCAGCTAGAAACCAGGTTATGAATGGAATGTGAATGTTGGCGTACGCAGAATGTGAATTTGGATGTGACTGTGGATGTAAGTGTCGATGACAATAATCAGAAAATAACATTTACTTCCAAAATCACCGAAGACAATATCCACATCCATACCCACCCTATTTAAGTCGATAACTAATAATAATAAAAGATTCACGGATGCACTCACTTTGATGTAACTTTTTGTCTTGATTCTAAATATCGAATTTATTTTGTAATTGGATCCTTTTTCGATCGAGGCTATCTCGAAGTACTAATTCAGTCTGACAGAATTCCAAGCTGAAAGAGTAGTTTATCAACAAGGAAGAATAGTGAGTACGGCTCAATGAAGATTACTAATATACAAAAGATGGCTCTGACTCTATTGTAAATAGTAAAGAGCAGAGCTATTCGTGACTACCAGCAAAATATCTTTTTGGAACTTCTGACGGTATCTGACCATTGAATCAAGCAGATTTCTGTTTTCATATAACCTTTCTATATAGTGTTGTCGCTAATTCTCGAAGACTACACTCTGATCCTCTGCAAAGAAAAAACCTTGATAAAAAACTGAGAGTTCATCAATAAAATAAATGTTCTCAATTGAATGATATTTGATATGAATGGCAAAAGACACATGATAAACACAAGAAATAACAGTAAGGAATATGTGTTAGATTTTTTTCATACGTGAATGGACTCAAATACTTTAGCATAGAAAAATTTTGAAACTCATACCAACTTAAACTGTTTTGTCAGTGTTGTCGCATGGTTTATAACAAAACGATGTCTCCAATGCTTGTCATGCCGCATTAGATGGAATAAAGAAAATGGAACTGAATTTGTCAGTTTTTGACTAGACGCAGATGTAGACGTAAACATCTGAAAGAAATGAAGCAAATCCGTGAAAATAAAAGAGCTTCATACTTGTAGACTTGAATATTTCTCTTTCACCTCTCTGAAGAAAAATTCCTATTTTCTCTCTATATATTTCAATTGTTATTTTATTTACACACTTTCTATCTCTAAGAAATGTCAAATGATATCCATATAGTCTTTGAAAACGGATTATCTTCTAATTTCAAATCTTTAATACCTAATGCCCTGCGATTATGGCCTCATCTTATTCTTCTTATTCCATCACTTATTTGCTCCTTAGTTCTTCTCTTTCTTTTTCTTTTTGATCAAAATCCACGTCATGCATGGAATAATCATGTCATTACTATTACTATTATCATCTTTGGTCTAATTATTGAATGTACTGACATTTCATGACTTCTCTTTTATTATCGCTTTAATATTGCTCTATCTCAGACGCCTATTTTTTGTCTAATTTGGTTCTATATCGAATGGCCATTCTATGATTTACAACCGATGCTCTTTGGTTGGGCATCGATTGAAAGGCATATTCTCATTTTTCATGATCGATGGTTAACAACAAAATCGAAATGCTTTCTCATTTATTATTTACCTCCAATTTTAAGTGTTCTATACTCTCTCATTTATTATATTCCAATTATTTTCTTTCCTTCTTGTGAAAATTCTTTTGATTATTCAATACGCCAATGTATCTATTTATGTTATTTTTATAATAATGCTGCTTTTATGTGGGAAGTTTTATTCAATGAAATGGTACCCTGTTTAATTATCATTATTTCCAATATTATTCTTCCTATGCGTATCCTTGGGCATAAGCATCGTCTATTTATTGTTCTGCTATGTTTTTGATATTTCTTCGTCTATGTAATGTATCATCATCTATCCTTATTAGTCTTATAGAATGTGCATCTTTTTCCGTCTCGTTCGTTATTCTCTGCTTTCCTTTAATTTGCGTTGGATCGATAGCTGAACTGCGAGCTGGAATAAAAAAAAGATGTTAAGACAGCAACATGAATCATGAAAGATTGTTCCTGTAACATAGACAGACATGAAAGACAAATTGAACAACTCCATTACTAAAACTCACATTTGTTCATGATAATTTTAGCATATCCAACTTTGTCATAAAATATATGTCAGGCGATATTGTCTATCACTCTGTATGATACCGATTTTGACTCTCAATAGCTTTGCTGACGAATGTTTTAAATATCTCTAATGTTCTCTGAACTTTGCATGCTTGCCTAATAATGATGCGTACAGTAATAGGAAAAGATTCTGAAAAATTCACATAACATATAGGAACAAGTCTTGATTTTTTTTTGAATTCTAATCATTAGACTACTTATAGCATGGACTTGATAAAAATATTGCAACAGAACATAATGCTTCACTCACTTGGATAAGAATGTGAGAAGAAATCACAAATCAAACAAATGAAAATCGGCGTAATACGAGATGATCTAATATTGTTGTATCAATGTGATGCTAAATTCACAGAAAACATAAAGATATTCTGCTTTGGTGAATTGGGAAGTGAGCATGTTTTCACTGTACACGAAATATTTTCATTAAATCAATATAATCAAGACGTTCATACACAAAATGGTAAAAAGTTTCGAATGCTGAAAAAAACCGACTATAATCATCTTTCCAGAAGTGTGATAATTCGAACTAAGTGTGCGCACAGAAGTCAAAAAGGTGAAATCATCTTCTGATGCTGTTGAGTCCTATATATAGCATTATGTGTTTCTTTCATAGAGTTACTGTTCAAATGTATCCGTAATCTCTAAAGACTGATTATTAAAGAAGATTTTCTGTTAATAATAACGAGTGTTTGCCTATCCATACATTTAGTTAGATTACTTCTAACGTAATCCATCTGCTAAGAGTTTATCGTAACATATACTGAAGAAAGATTAATCCATTTTCGACAAAATAGTATAGAAAATTCTCAATTATTTGTTTTTTTTTCTATATAATTTGAATCAATATCTCAAAACTGATTTATCTTATACGTTTAAAAACAAGGATTGACTCAAAAATTCACTACTGTGTGAAATTGCTGAATTTAGCTTATTGTCTTCAATTACCAAAAACAACGAAAGATAAACATCTCTTTTTTTTGAATGCGTTAGGGACATTATGATCCAATAATTCATACAATTGATGATGATGTTACTCATTATGCATTTGCTGTAACAGATATTATAAATAGTCAATTAATTGCTCAATTATATGGTTTTATAATATTATTAGATTTTACAAAATGTGTCCAGAATATTGACGTCAAATTCATTTTTATAATTAATTCAAGAACATCAGATGATTGAATGAAAAAATCTTTACATAAATATATTGATCCATCATTATTACCAAATAAATATGGTGGTCGATTAGGTTCAGTAGAATCTGATATGAATAAATTATTTAATCAATGGATTCAACAACATAATGATTATATGATACAACTTGAACAATATGGAATTGATCATCAACAAATATCACAAGTATTTTAAAAAATTGAAAAAAACAAAAACAACATGATATGTCAGTTTTTATTCTAAGATTCTTCTTATTATATTTTGTTTTTTTTTTCTATGTTGATCAGTATAGCTTATTTGTATGCATCTATAAAAATCAATAATTTCTATAAATAGAATAATAAATGTCGTTAAAATATTGGCTCTTTTTAAGATTTTATCATTACATACAAGTGAAAATACTCATCAACCGAGTATGACTTGTCAGTAAAAATTACTCAAGCCATTTTATTGGTATGAATAGTGTTCTTGTATGCTATCGAGTTTTCCTCTACATCGTTGTTCATACGCAATAACGTGGATATCCGATGTAGTACCCATGTGCTATTTTTCGCAGAGTACTTAGAAAAATATTTATGCACTCGGATATACATAAATGGATTTAAGTAATGTAATGAAGTAAAAATAGCATGAAATAATGGACAAAAGAAATTCTTCGTTGATAAATTGAACGATGTTATTGAATAGAGATTTTAAGAACAGAAAAACAACTTTTCATGTTAAACTGTTTTTGTTCAAGTGTGTTAATAGATAAATTGCAATAAAACAAAAGGAACTAACAACTCTTGTTACAAATCAATTGAGATTTAAATTTCATGGAAATATCTGAATGATACTGTAGGCAAATAATTTTCTTTTTTTGTTGTGTTATTTATTAATTACTGAAAGACTAAAGATAGTTATGAATTAGTTATTTCATTTTTGTATCTAAATAAAATGGATATCAGTTCACAATACTGAACAGAATATAGACATATGAGTATTTTCATAAACTACTAGAGTAAACAAAAACTATGTAGAAATACTCAAGAAACATTGAGTGTTGCATGGCGAGTATTCGTTTGTCATACTCAGATATTAGCATCAGTACTCAGGTTCTCACGACCTTTTCTAGCGTACACGTACTTGCTTGATAAAATATTCAGAAAAGAAAAAAACTTTCTCATGCATGTGGAAAGTTGAGACAAGCCAACTTATCACTCTAGAAGTAAGAATGTAATGGTTTCTTGACTTGCTATACTTCCATTTAATTGATTTTCCTACGTCTATTCCTTTTCATTTTTTTCTATTTATTGGAACTATTAGAATATATATGAATTTTACAAAAATTAATTCTAGTCTCAAATAAATTCAGTAAAACATTAACTAATGCATGATTTCATAGTCGTGAAATAAATATCTTCTGTCATTTCTATTTCTGTGAATTTACGACAATGCACAACGAGAAACAAAATAAATAATGTATTAGTTCACACTTGTTGAATAGATAGACTAAAAAAGCACAGTTTTATTTGAAATCATCAGTTTTCTTTATTTCATACATTAATACAAAGTTTAGCGAACAATATTAATTACAAATTAAATCTATAAGAGAAATTTTAAAAAAAATATTCAAATTTGTTTGTAGAACATATCAAATAGAAATAATTGTTTTGCATTAAAAAAAATCCTTCTATATAATCACATGTTTATGTTCGTGTCGTTTAATTTGACATTTTGTTTGCTTTGAGTCAGTCTTAATCCATATCTTCTACTTAAATACCCAATTAACATACACTAACAAAAGCTTTTGTTTGGTATAGTATGAGTATGTCAATAATTTGAATTCTATTGATCTTTAAAACATAGTAGAAATCAATTTACTACTGATGTATTCATTTAGTTCATAGATTTTGTGAAAGTGCCACAACATTATTTATTATATGACAATATTTATCGCAATCGGTACTAACAATTCTTTCTCGACTTGTATTTGTATAATGCAACCATAATAATATTATTTCAATATTAATTTTCATAATTGTTTGAGCTAAAATCATATCATTATGCTAGAATAGGAATGTTCTTATTTGCAACAATGATTTCGTAATAAATAAGTTTCATTTTTTTATAACATATTAGAATTCAATACTACTATCGATAGAAAGACAAATTAATTCTGAATTGATTATGTTATTTAAAATTATAATATATGCCATCCTTGAAAGAACGATTGAAAAAAAGAAACTTTTCATCTATTATTATTATTATAATTTACGAGTGTTGCTTCTGTTTCAGATTGTCCACATATTATATAACTACACACTTAATTTAACATTAAACGTATATAAAGAAATATAAATGATCTAGACAAACGCACAAAACAATTAGTAACAACTGTTTCATGGATGATTTCTTTTTGATTAAAATTCTATTTGATTCAAAGAATATTTTTACTAAATTTATTTAGTTAAAATTAAAAAAAAAATATTTGTTTTTAATTAAATATGATCGATAACATTTTAGTTGAATATTAATTAGCTAAAAGCATATTTATTTTTTTGTAAAAGAATTATAATATTTAAACTTTTTTTAAGTGAAAAAGAAAACACCATCTAGTATAGATGGCGTTTTTATGTATGAAACATTAAAAAAAATAAGATTTACGATTTATTTTAAGCTTATTATTGAATTTCAATTAAATTAAAATCTTTGACTCTATATAATAACTTAATTTTATCAATATTTTATAGATTTCTATCTCCACACGTTGTTTTCTGATAGGTCAGTAAAAATCTAATTCATCCAATCATACAAACACAACCCATATTCCGTTGTTTGCTCATTGATTTGTCTTTTCGTCTCTATTCCATTAAATATAATAGTAAGAAAGAAAGAAAGAGAATGAAGAAAGCCATCTAACCTATATTCTTTTACATGATCATTTTCGTATCAGTTCATACTCGCATATATATATTCAGAAGAGAGAAAAAGAGAACATATGTTATTCTTTTAACTGACCGTTGACCCTATTACTTTCTATTTTAGCATCATCTTTATCATGATTCGTTTAAGCTATTCATTATTATTACTTGTTATTATTGCAACTGTCTATTCAACAGATTATTTTGTTGAAAAATTCGAAGGTAAAATAAATCTTTGAATTATTTTTATTGATCATTGTTTTTTTTTTATTATCTTCTTCTTATAAGATGAATCTTATAAAAAACGATGGGTTCAATCAACAGCTAAATCAGATTTAGGTGAATTTAAATTATCACATGGTAAATTTTATGGTGATGCTAAAAAAGATCTTGGTAAGTCAATTTAAAAAATACAAAAATTATTTTTATGAATACACCAAACAAAAAATCTATTCTTTATATAGGTTTACAAACATCGGAAGATGCTCGTTTCTATGCTATGTCAGCTAAATTTAACAGTTTTTCAAATGAAGGCAAAACACTTGTTATTCAATTTACTGTTAAACATGAACAAAAAATTGATTGTGGTGGTGGTTATGTTAAAGTTTATCCAGCAGATACTGATCAAAAAGGCCTTACTGGCGATTCACCTTATCACATTATGTTTGGTAAATAAATTTTTTTTCTCTATTTTTATTTTACTATTTTTCATCATTTAGGACCTGATATTTGTGGTTATAGTACGAAAAAAGTTCATGTTATTTTTACATATAAAGGAAAAAATTTATTAATTAAAAAAGAAATTAAATGTAAAGATGATGAATTTACACATCTTTATACATTAATTCTTAACCCCGATAATACTTATGAAGTTCGTATTGATAATGAAAAAGTAGAAAGTGGTAAACTTGAAGAAGATTGGGATTTCACTGTACCAAAACGAATTCCTGATCCTGATGCTAAAAAACCATCAGATTGGGTTGATGAAGAAAAAATCGATGATCCAACTGATTCAAAACCAGCCGGTTAGTTTTAATTAAATGAAAATAAAAAAAAAAAGAATCAATAATATTTCTTTTTTTAATAGATTGGGATAAAGCAGAACATATTCCTGATCCTGACGCTAAAAAACCTGAAGATTGGGATGATGAAATTGATGGAACATGGGAACCACCAATGATTGATAATCCTGAATATAAAGGTGTTTGGAAAGCTCGTCAAATTGATAATCCATCTTATAAAGGACCATGGGTTCATCCTGAAATTGATAATCCTGATTATGTTGAAGATGCAAATCTTTATTTATATAAAGATATTGGTATGATTGGTTTTGATTTATGGCAAGTTAAATCTGGTACTATCTTTGATAATATAATTATCACTGATAGTGTTCAACGTGCTGAAGAATTTGCTAAAGAAACATGGGTAAAAACAAAAGAACCAGAAAAGAAAATGAAAGATGATCAAGATGAAGTTGAACGAAAGAAAGAAGAAGAAGAACGTAAAAAACGAGAAGCTGGTTAGTATTTTACTTTAAAAAAAAAAAAAAGCAAAAAATTTTTTCTTTTTGTCTCTTTATATTTATAGAAGACAAATCAAAGAAAACTGATGATGGTGATGAATCAGATACTGATGATAAGAAATCACCTCATGCTGAAGATGAATTATAATTAATCAAATAAAATAAAAAAAAAAGAACATTTACATCGTACATTCCCAGTCAGTCTTAATTGGACAATAACAACTATATACATAAAAAAAAAAAAAAGAGAAACATCTTATGAGGTAGTTCCCCTATTTCTTCTCTATTTAAACACTTTAGTTATATTGGTTAATCTTTTTTTTTTCTTTGCTATTGTTGTGTTTGTTTTTTGCTCTGTTTTCTTTTTTTCCTCAAACGAAAAAAATAGCGAATAGTGCAAGATTAGGAAAAAGAAAAACGAAATGACACATAGACTTACTTCACTAACACACCCAAAAGAAGAAACAACAGATCAGTTTTTTTTTTGTTTGTTTTTATTATTGTTGTTTGTTTACTGCGCCGATATATTCATCAGTTTTCTTTTTTCTCTTATTTAACTATCTTTTATGTGCTTGTGCTTGTTTGTATGTGTGTTTATTTGATTGGACTATATCTTGCACACTCCTTTCCTTTCTTCGGTTTTTTTATACGTCGCTGTTTATGGATTAAAACAAAAAGAATATTAGAAAAAGATATTATGTTGATTAATGCATATAAATATTCAGTTTCTATAAATATTTATAGATTATTTGGATAGATAACAATAGGAA